ACGCAAGCGCCCCCTGCTCACAAGAGGGTCGGCGCCACGGAGCCGCCCCGCACTGTGGCAAGAAAACGGCGGCCGCATGTGATCCCACGTGGCGCCCGGCAGGCGGCAAGGCGACTCGGGCACAGGCGCAGTGCCGCTCCGGGATGCTGGCGGGCGGGGCCCCTCCCCCGGGTTCTGCCAGTCTTGCGTGGGGCGCCATGCGTCTGGGCCGCGCGAGCCTCACCCCAGCGGGCCAGATGTCTTCCATCATTGCCCTCGGCCCGGGGCGCGGTGTCCACCATCGAGCAACAGGAAGTGGCGCAAGCAATACTTTCGGAGGCCCGCGCGGACCTCCGCACGCCCATGCTTATACCGTCCTCTTGTCATGGCAGGGGCGTGGCCCGCACATGACCCTCGTTGCTGGCCGCTTGGCGTCGCTCGGACGATTGCATTCGTTTCTCCGGCGAGGACCATCGAGGAGTGTCTTCGACCATTCATCGAGCAAACGAACGGCGCGCGCGAAACCGAGAAATGCACGGGGAATGGACGCCCGAGCGATGGCGAGGCCGTGGCCTGCACGACAGGTCGCGTCGGCCGCCCTTCTGGCCCTCGCGGGCCCTCGGTCGGCGCAGCCCCGGGCGCCGCGCGCGCCGGGCGCCGGGGCCCCGCCATGTGGCAGCGGCTCTGGGCGGGGCCCGCCCCGTGCGAGGACGTCCCGAAGGCCTCCAGCCTGCGGCCAGTGAAGAAGCTGAACAGCATCTCCAAGAGCGAGGACGGGGGGTCGGCGAAGGGCCCCGGCCCGGGCCTCCCAGGTGGGGTCCGAGCAGGCGGGTTCGGAGGATCGCGCGGCGTCGCCGACGCATCGGCGATGCGGCTCGATGTGGAACCCGATTTTCGCTACGACGACGGCGGCGATGCATCGTCGACGTCGCAAATTCATCGCCGATGCATCGGCGATGCGGCACGATCCTCCGACCCTATCTGCTCGGACCCCCTCTTGGGAGGCGTCTACCCAGGGGCGCCGATGGCTCGTGTCTCCCCAGCGAATGCGTGTACTGCCCGCCCCTGAGCTATTCGGGGCTACGCGTTTGTAGCCCTCCCAGATGGGGTCGGAGTAGACGGGGTCGGAGGACCGCGCCGCAATGCCGATGCATCGCCGACGCTGCTCGATACGGGGCCCGATTTGCTTCACGTCGACGTCGACGATTCAACGATACATCGCCGATGAAGCGGCGATGCGGCGCGATCCTCCGACCCCATCTGCTCCGACCCCATCTGGGAGGCCTCTGGCGTTAGAGTGGCAATTCGCCAGGGCGACCCGTGGTGCGCGGCTCGCGGGGCGCGCGGGGGTGTCGAGCCCGAGCGCGCGGGCCGCTGCTGTCGTGTCGCGGCAGGCCGCGCACCGGATGTCGCCCGTGCCAGGGGTCACTCCTGCGTGCAGCCGATGTTCGTGGAGGAGGAGGAGGAGGAGGAGGAGGACGACGAGGAGGAGGAGGAGGAGGAGAAGAGGAGAAGGAGGAGGGACGGAGGAGGAGGAGAAGAAGGCGAGGAGGAGGAGGAGGAGGAGAAGAGGAGGAGGTGGAGGAGGAGAGGAGAGGAGGGGGAGGAGGAGGAGGGAGGAGAGGAGGAGGAGGGAGGAGGGAGGAGGAGGAGGAGGAGGAGGAGGAGGAGGAGGAGGAGGAGGAGGAGGAGGAGGGGGAGGGCGCACTACCACTCCCCCTGCGTGCAGCCGATGTTCGCCCGCCTCGTCGCCCCGAGAGGAGAACAGGGCCGCTTCGGCGCGGGTGGCCGAGCTGCAGGCGGCCCTCGCGCAGGAGCGGGAGCGCGTCGGCCAGAAGGACGAGGATCGGAGGCCCCGAGGTTGGCACCAGCACCAACACGTCGTCGTCGTCGTCGTTCGCCAGCGGGGACCCTCGGAGCTGCTGCCAAGGGGGACGACCAACACATCGGCGGTGTGCCTCCACCGAGGGAAGATATCCAGGCCTCCCACACTCAACCCGCATAGCAAGGATGAGTCGCTTTCCAAGGTTGCCCTTGCATCCCTCCCCTCCGGCCCAGCCCTTGCCGCTTTCGCTGGCCGCGCCCCGTTCTCAAAGTGTCGACATGGCCTTCCAACGCCCTTGCATCCTTATCGCGCGTCCTCATTTTACGGGCTGACCGTAGATGGGGTCGGAGGACCGAGCTTCGTCGCCGATGCATCGGCGATACGGATCGATGTTGAGCCGGTTTTTCTTCACGCCGGCGTTGCCGATGCATCGCCGACGCCGCCGACGCATCACCGATTCATCGGCGATGCATCAGCGATGCGCCGCGATCCTCCGACCCCGTGTATTCGGACCCCATCCCGGTGTGCCTCCACCGAGGGAAGATGATCCCGATGTTTGAGATGGTGGTCATACTCGGGCTTCATAGGGTGCCGATTGATTACAGTAAGCGCATCAAGCAAGAAATCAGCATGCAAGCGGGTGCCCCACTGAACGTCCTTATTCCTCGATGGCCCGAGGGACCCACAAAAGTTGCGGGGCGGCCCCTGATGTCCGAAGATCGACATCGAATGAGCCCCTGGATGTCTTGTGGCAGTGTGTCTTACCGTATGTGCTTGCTGCACCACAAACACGAAAAGCTGGGATCATCTTCCCCTGGTCGGTGGAGACAGCCACCCTGTGTTGGTGTTGGTGCCCATGGCCGAGCCTCCAAGAGGAGCTCCAGGCCGCGGGCCAGCTCGTCGCCAAGCTCGAGCAGGCCCTGGAGCTCCAGCAGAGGGAGCAGGAGCGCATCGCAACGCTCGAGGAGGCGCTCGCCAAGCGGCGGGGCGGTGAGGACGTGAAGGTTCGGGTGTTGCCAGAGGCAGAGGTGTACTCCCTTTCTTTGTCCAGACGCCATCTCTTCATCTCGACCCCCAGGGGGGCCCGCTTTCGGGCCCCGGGATCCGAGGAGGAGCAGGAGGAGGAGGAGGAGGAGGAGGAGGAGGAGGAGGAGGAGGAGGAGGAGGAGGAGGAGGAGGAGGAGGAGGAGGAGGAGGAGGAGGAGGAGGAGGAGGAGGAGGAGGAGGAGGAGGAGGAGGAGGAGGAGGAGGAGGAGGAGGAGGAATCGGAGTAGAGGGAGGAGGAAGGAGGAAGGAGGAGGAGGCGGAGGAGGAGGAGCGGTCTCCGAATCTGCGGGACGCGGGCAAGCGGGACACAGGTTCAGGCGTCCTCGGCCCAACGTGCCCCCAGGATGTCCAGGGAGGCCCCCACGGCTTCCGGATCACCGGGGCCTCCGGAACACCCTGCACGAGGCCCAGAGGGCCCCAGGGGCTTCTGTGGGGGGCAGAAGATTGGAGACACATTTAGCCTTGGCCGCAACTCGTGAAAGTCTACATCTTAATCCGGCTTGATCCCGGGCTTGATCCATCTGCATCGGGTTGGCTGGCCCCTTGATCTGGCTTTATGAAGACTTCCGAGGAGTTGCGTCCTTAGCGGCCCACGGGAGGTGGAGAAGCTGCTGCTGGCGGTGGCTGGCGAGAAGCAGCTCGCCGAGGAGCGGGCGGAGGAGCTCGGACGAGCCCGGTCCCAGCTGGCGGAGGCGCGGAGGCTGCGCGAGGAGGAGCAGTCCAAGCGCCAGGGCGAGGAGAGGTGGCTCGCAGAGCTGGACGTCGGGCGGCGAGATCCGTACAGTCCAGGGTCGAGGCGCTAACATGAGTGCCATTTCCTCCTCCTCGTCCTCTTTCTCCTCGTCCTCCTCCTTCTCGTCCTCCTCCTCCTCCTGTTCCTCCTCCTCCTCCTCTTCCTCCTCCTTCCTCCTCGTCCTCCTCCTCCTCCCCCTCCCTCCTCCTCCTCCTCCCTCTCCTCCACCTCCTCCTCCCTCCTCCTATCAAGCAATTGAGCCCGAGGGTTTTGCAGGTGCATTCTCGAGGGCCCACTGCTGCGCGCGAGCCGCGCGCCCGCGCCTGCCCTGCCCCGCAGGTGCGAGGCGTGCCCGCGGCTTGAGGGGCACGCCTTCGGCGTCGCAGAAATCGCGGCAGACGGCTACGACATGGGGGCACAGGCCCCGCCCTGGAAGAAAGGAGATCGCGCAGCCAGCAGAGCGCGATCCAGGTCACGGACGAAGAAAAATGGCCAGGGCGGGCAGAAGAGGCAGCATGTGGTTTGCAATGTGTGCAACACTTTTGGCAGCACCTGGATCTATTGCGGCCGCATCTCTGACAAGGGCAAGTGTGACAAGTGTGGTGCGGCATGGGCAGAGGTTCAAGCACGTGCAGCTGAGCCAGCCCCACAGTCCCAAGCCGTGGTCGCCCTCCTCGCAGACAAGTGCAACTTGGCCACAGAGAACAACACATAAGAATTGGATACGTTGGATCAAGCGTGCCCCCTTTTTCGAGCACCTGAGCCCAAACCTCCACCTGAGCCGAAGCCTTTTTTTCGATGAGCTGGAAGCTGCGGCGCAGGAGCTCCGCAAGGTCAGTGCAGCGGGGGAGAAGCTCCGCAAACGCCTCCAACGCAATGGTGGGGAGCAGATGGATATCTTGCAGACGCTGGCCGACAACAAAGCGGAGGAGAAGGAGGCTCAGATAAAGGTGGACCTGTGTCGTGAGAAGGCCAACACGGGACAGCCCGCAGCCCCTGCCGCTCCACAAGACGACCCAGCTACTCCAGAACTTCCCCTTCAATAGCTGGCATTACTGGGAGGGGAATAGAAGCGACAATACGAAGCAGCACGAGAAGCAGCAGCGGCAGCACAAGAGACCCTGGAGGCAGCCAGAGGAGCTACGCAGGCGCGAAAGGAGGTTGCCGAGAACCTCCGCAAGTTTGCGCGCAAAGCCCAGGAGCGCAAGAGGCGGCGAGCTCACGATGGCCCAGCACCTTGAGGAGTGCAGGCGGAACCTGGGAAAGTTTCGACCGATACTGGGGTAAAAACTGAAAAAGACAGTGCACCCGCTTGGAGGTTATGATTTCACGAAGGCGGAGCACGCGGACCAGTGCCTGGAGCAGACGACGAGGACCCGCCACACAACTAAACCCCCAATTGGCGCCAAGGCGGAGGAAGAAGAGCGTCTTCAGAAAGAGCGCGTGCGTCAAGTTCCAGGACCCCATATGCGATTTCGAGGATCCGCCAGAGGACTCCGCCAGCGCCAGCCGCGACAAGAGCAAATACAACGTCGCGGCTCTGGATTTCATCGCGCAGTCGAAGCGCGATCTGGCGGGCCTTGTGGAGCACCACCTCACGACAGAGAAGGCGTCCGACGAGGCGCAGCGGCTTCAGTCCATGGGAGGCCTTCGCAGCATACATGGGCGGCAGCGAGGCGCACTGGGCGCTTCTCTGGGGGCACCCACGGGGGGGCACGCTGGCTTCGCCGTTCTCACTTACAGACAGCAGCGCACTTGCCCACGGCCAAGGGCAGTAGCACCGTCGAGAAGGAGCTGAAGGACATAGCGGCGGTGCGCTGGGACCCAGAAGGAGTCATCACAATTTCTTCGTTCGTCGTGCGCTTGGACACCGGCCCTGGCCCGAAGGGGACAACCGCCAAGAAGTTGCATCAGCTGCCGCAGCTGCTGGCCAGCATCGAGACCCCGTGGGCAGCCGTGGGGGATTGGAACGTTGCGCCAGAAGGCCACGCGCAGCCGCCATTGGTTGGAAAAGAAGTCGGCAGCGCAACCGGCTGCCCCAACTGGGGCACGCGCTACTTGCGCGAGTGGGATTGGCCGCGTCTTGGATTGGTTTCTCCGCCCGCCATCCTTCCGGCCTTTTCCTGGGAAGTGCGGCGGCAAGGGCCAACGTGCCATGTCGCCCTCATCTCGGCATCCTGATCAAGATATCGCGAAGGTAGCGCGAAGGCCAGCAGACCTTCGAGTACTCCATCCAGTAGGAGCTGATTAGCATCAGATTCCATTCATCGCGACGCAGGTGGAACAAGGGTCTGAAGCGCCGACGGAGGGGCCGCGAGAAGCGCAAGCGCCTCACAGAGCACGCGACGGCCGAAGAGCTCGAGAAGGACGAGGCAGAGCTCGCAGGAGAGCAGACAGCTTTTAGACTGGAGCGTCGAGAGATAGAGAGCCTTCCCCCCCCACGTGCACACCGAGCAAGTCTCGGCCACAGTTGAAGCTGAGCAGCGGCAACAAATTTGGCGGCAAGTAGAATTATGCGACCTGCCAGACGTGGATGACCTCACCCAGAGCAGCATGGCGTTGCAGCTCACGCAGCAGGCCAGCAAGGAGCTCGGTGGCAGGTATGCGCGCGCAGTGGGCGCAAGCAGCGGGTCGCTCCTTGGCGATCCTCTGTGGCAGGGGTGGAGATGCCAACGCTGCGCGCGGCAAGCCTGTTTGGCGTCGCCTGCCCCGCGCGGCGCGCCGCCGAGCAAAACGCCCGCTGGATCCTGAACAGGCCCAGTATGATCGCTAGACAGAGTTAGGCTCTCTGCCCAGGAACTTGGGAGTGGCCGCGAAGAGCGATCGTCGCCAGGATCTACGCAGTCAGATCAAGGGACACATCGAGAACGCGGAAGGCTTAGGACGCCCACCCTTGCCTGCGCCCTGCGCGCACGGAGCGCGCCACGATGGAGAGGATGACGCGCGGGCACTCGACGCGATCGAGAAGACGGAGTTGGACCCAGCAAACCCCGCGCGGCAGGAGGCATTGTCTAAGGCCAGCAATCGAGCAGGGCGACGCGGCACGCGAGCACGGCAGCAAGCGAACGTCAACATCTACAAGTGGGCCAGGAAGGCGCTCGACGGCAAAATGGAGGAATTCCGCGGATACTTGAGGCGGCCTGGTAGTTTATCCATTCTCGAGTTATGCCTCGACGCGGACGGGCGCGGGGCGATGGTCAATCCGCGGGGCGCAGTCGAGGCCAGGGCTAAGCAGTGGCGGGCGCGTTGGACACAGCGTGCTGACCGCGGTGAATGCGAGTGCCACATGCGATGGCTGCGCAGGCTGGCCAAAGAACAAGCTGCAGAAAAAGGGGGCCCATATAGGTGGACCAATTGGAAGGGGCGTTACGAGCGACACCCAATTCTTCAGGCTAAGGTTCAGATAGGTGGCGAGTGCAGCACCTTCAGGCATTGGCGACAGGAGCCAAACAGGAATTGGCGGATTTGCTGACGGATTGCGAACAACAGATTGCGTGGCCACACCAATGGTTGCACGCGCGGCACGACCTACTGCGCAGAGGCAGCAACAGGACTGCAGGAGACGAGAGGCCAATCGGGCTGATCCATCTACCTGCACGCCTGCGAGGACGAGCGCGGCAACCAGGCGTTGCCGAATGGGGCCGGACCAGAGCGGCGTTCTGGGATGCAGCAGTTGGGAAGCCGTCGGCTTCGCAAGCAGCCTCATTCAGCGTGGTCATGGATGAGCAGTGCAAGATGATCGAACCAAGGCATGGGGCTCCGTTTACTTAGATGCCAAGAAGTTCTACAACGCGATACCAACCCCGCTCCTCATAGAGCGGGCCTTGGCTTTGGATTCCCCCAGTGGAATTGCATTTGACTTGTGCAACGTACTTAGCGCCAGGAGCAGCGCTGGCTGCGGGCGCTGTCGCACCACCACTTTTGCCATCGAGAAACATTGCTCCTGGATGGAATCATGCGAAACATCGGGCCCGAGCTTTCTCGCGCACTGTGCTGGAGAAGGCGCGCCACCGCGTGCCGAGAGCGCTGCCGCGTCAGCGCGTGGGCGACGTCACCGCGCGGTCCGAGGGGGGGGTGCGTCGAGCGCGACTTAGTCTGCGTCGCGGTGGGGTTGGTCAAAGTTTGCGTGGCTAGCAAGGTGGCGATGTCTGAGGAGTCCACCACCACGGCGCCCCACCCCAGCATCGGGAAGGCGGTGGGCAAGGCAGCGCTGGCAGTGGGTGCGTCGGTCGCGTCGGCGGCGCACGTCAGAGACTCGGGCGTGGGCTTGGCCAGAGGACGGACGCGCACAGCGACCGCCCGAACTCGACGGAAGGCGGCCAGAGCACGAGCAAGGAGAGCTCGAGCTTTCAAAGGGGCAGGCAGACGACGTCGCACGCCCCCATCACCCTTAGCATAGCCAGCGCGCGCGCCAAGTCCAACTACGACGTACCTGTAGCAGGCGTGCCACCTTCAGCGAGGCGCCCAGGAACGCCACGAGGCCCCCTGGGCGCTCCAAGAGGCCGGGGGGCCCTTTCTCTACGCGCTGCCCACTTCCCTGATCGAGGCAATTCCTGTGGGCATCGTTTCCGAAGCGTCTGAAATTCAAGGCCCATCGGAGCTGGGGTGGCATCCCAGCGAACCAGATCAGCGGAGGGACTCGAGGGGCGCGACATGGCGCATGACAGGGTCTGCGGCGACAGCCCCCACAGCGTCGGCTACGCTGCTCCGACGACAGCGGCCACTACGCGGGCACCTCGCGCGGCGCTTCTTTCCCAGGGAGCGGCTTCGTCTACTTCGCAGATGGCAGGGGCGTTCTGGGAGTTAGCAAATCCCGTTTCGCCCAGGTTCAGCGCCGCCGACGCTCTGCCTCAAGACGCGGCCCCCCCCACTAGTATTCTACGCGGATGGCGAGCGCGACCCTTTCGATGCCATGGAGGACGACGGGTGGGATGCCACGCCAGCGACGGGAATGCAGGACAGCGCCGCCACCGGGGCCCAGGAGGCACGCGCTGCTCAGCGGTCGAGAGCGCCCCCGCCAGAAGGCCCGGCCCTTCCTGAGCCGCTCGTGCCAGACAGCACAGGGCAGTATGCATGCGCTGCTCAGCGGATGGCAGCAGCCCCGCCAAAGAGCACCAGCCCGCCGACCCGCAGCTCCCAGGCAACGCAGGCGGGGGACGAGACACACCTTCCACTAGCAATGAAGATGGAGCTGTTGTCGCCACGGAGTTGTTGGCTGCGGTTGTGGCAGATGCACTGCAAGAGCAATGGCAGCAGGCGGCCGACGACCACGTTGGAGGCGAGTGGACCTCTATGCCAGACACTACCGCAGCGGTGCGAACCCAGCGAATACACCGAGCCGACTGCCATCCCGAAGCAGGCGCGCTGGAAGCAGTGGTCTGTAACGCTACGTGAACAAAGGCTAGACGCCACAGCGCAGGCTATTTGTGCGACGGCGTCTGCCAGAAGTGCCAGTCGGGCGAGAAGGAGACCATGGCCAACTGCGTCTTGGGCCGCCCGCGCACGTGCCAGATGGGCCACCCTTGGGCCCGTCAGAGCGATCGGCTACGTGAAGAAGCAAGTCGTGGCATTGCCGGGAGCGCGGTCTATTTCCTCGCTCGCGGAATTCGGTGCCGCCACCTCCGTCACGGGGCGAACCTTTCTACCCGTGCTACATAGACTGGGACGACCTAGCGGCGTTGCCCAGAGGAGCGGTCGCTGACCAGAAGCGCATCGAGTGCAAGCTGACTTTCCTGGACGGCTCCAAGTCGAGCACCGACGCGCGAGTGGCGCGCGCAGGCTGGGGCGTCTACCTTGCTGTGTCGGCGCAGGCTGTCGGACAAGACGACCCTACTGCCCCTCAACATGGTGCTCGTGGAGGCGTCGATGGGGGCCAGACGGCTCCCTGCGCTGAATTGGCGGCGCTCTGGTGGGCCTTGAAGCTGACAAAGGGCCCCATCTGGCTCTTCGCAGACAGCCAGATAGTCTACGACGGGTGGCACGGTTTCTCTGACACCTCAGGACATCTTGAAATTGGGTGGTCCAGGATTTGGGGAGAAGCCCAGGGATGTGGAGTGATACTCAGTAAGTGTTTCTCGCACCTAGATCGAGTTTCAGTGGAAAGGGTGTCCAGCTGCTGTTTCATTTCCAGAGGAAATGATCTAGCATGTAGATTTGACAAGTGATGGCATGAAACCCGTTTCACATGATATGGAGGTTGTAGTCAGAGACTTAGCTTGAGTGGGTTTGAAGGCGTGACTGGACAAACGGAGACTGGCTATAGTGAATGCGGAGGCTGCTGGTTCCGACTTCGAGCGTGAGGTCAGGCTGCCCCATGCCTGGCGCTTAAGGCAGGACCTCGAGAGATTGTCGGGACACCAACTGTCAAACGTGGGGCCTTCTTGCGTGTGCAGCTACTGCTAAAGTGGCCCAGGGAAGTTTTCGGTTTTGGACGGGTTTCGCCAACGCTAGTGTCGCGGGCCCCAGTTCCACCGAGTTGGGTCTCAGGGTAGGCCAGTCCGACTTCCCCCATTTATAGTGTCCAAGGGAAGGTAGTGCATGAATCGCATACTGCTGCCATTTAGTATGGTCACATTTTCTGTCGGAGGTGTGGTTGTTTGGGGCCCAAAACGCCGACAGGAGGCAGGCTAGGGCCAGGTCTCATTAGTGCTTGTGTCGGGCAGCCCACCCCAGCAGATAAATAAGTTCGGACCAAAATTCAAGAATGGGAGGTCCTTTCAAAAAAAAAAAAGGAGAATACCTGCTGGCCTGACGGCAGTCCCAACGTCCTCATTCAGAAGAGGCGCGCAGTGCGCCGGAAGGGGTGATTGTCTCCTTTTTCGCCAGGTGAATATCGGTGGGATGTGTTGTCCGGTTTGTCATCGTTCCCTCATCGTTCCTCCTCCTCCTCCTTTTCCTCCTCCTCCTCCTCCTCCTCCTCCTCCTTTTCCTCCTCCTCCTCCTGCAGGAGGGGCTGGTTTCGGGCCGTGCCTCGGAGCTAGGCCGTGGAACCTCGCTGTTGCCGCGTCCCACCGTGGCCAGAAAAGCCCCTGCTTTCCGTACTCGGCAGGCCCATCCCCGGACAGCCCGCG